ATTTGGCGGCAGAAATGGCAAAATCTCGCGAGGAAGCGTGAGTAGAGCGGGCTTTATGCCCGGTCAAGCGCGGTGACGCTGCGAGGTGAGGCCATTTTACCGTCCTTCGGATTTGGCCGTTTCGGCCATCTGCATGGTCGCGAAAGGCTTGAAAATGAAGCACATTTCCTGCGCTTTCGCTCCTTGCAGTTGATCAAAACGATCCAAACCAAATTGACTTCATTAATGGGTCCCTACCCTAGGTCACACCTTGAACAAGGCATCCGGATAGTGCGCTAGACCGCGATCGAGTCGGGTGACGCATCGTGCACCACACATTTGTTCCGACCGGTTGATTTCGCCTGGTAGAGAGCAGTATCGGCCTTTTGCATGAGCGACGAGAACTCGACATCTTCACGGCTCGAGACCGCCAGGCCCATGCTGCAGGTGACGACCTGGGACAGTCGCGGATCCTGGCAGTTTCGAACGATCTTCTTGCGAAGTCTCTCACAGACCGTGAACGCGTCCTCCAGACCGGTCCCGCTCAGGATCAGGCAGAATTCTTCGCCTCCGACCCGACCGAATATGTCAACGGATCGCAATTCCTTGCTGATTGTGCTTGTAAACAGCTTCAGGACATCGTCCCCGGCAGCATGTCCATGCTGATCGTTGATGCTCTTGAAATGGTCGATATCCATCATGACAGCGGTGAAAACCTGCTTCGACCTGCGGAAGCGCTGGATTTCCGTGTTGGCTTTCTCAAGAAAGGCGCGCCGGTTGAGGATCTGGGTCAGATCGTCGATGCTCGCGATGCGCTCCATGCGGATCTTGGCGTCCATGAGTGCCTGGTGATCGCGCTGGCGCGCGATTTCATGGCCGATCCAGTCGGCAAACTGTCGGATGATCTGGACATCCGCGGACGTGAACGGCCGCTTGCGGATGTCTCGGCCCGTGAAGTTTATCGTGCCGTGCACGATCCCGTCCACCAGTAGGGGCGCTCCGATATAGGTCTCGATTTCGAACAGCTTGTAACAGGGGTGACCGGCGAATTCCGATTGCCCTGCATGGCCTGTCGCGATGGGTTCGTCGGCCTGCAGCGTCAGGGTGCAAAAGGTGTCCTTGAGTTCGAAAGACTGGCCGGGCTGGACCGTGTCGCCCGGGCTTTGGGCGTGTGTAATCGTATAGTTTTCGCCGATCACATGACTGATAATGCCGACGGGCAGATCGAAATGGTCACATCCCAGACGCAGGATTTCGGCGATCTTGTCCTCATGCCCCAGTTCCCTTGTCGACGTGATCGCGTAGAGCTCCGCCAGCGTCCGTTCCGTCTTCTTTCGGTCCGTAATGTCTGAAATCACGACGACAAGACCATCGACCTCTCCAGCGTCATTGAAACGCGGATTGCAGTCCATCAGGCATTCGCGGGTCACCCCGTCAGGAAAGTGCATTCCGATTTCGGCAGAAGCTTTTTCGCCGCCCATTGCCACCATGAACAAAGATCGGACGGTGTCGCGTTCTTTCCAGGGCAGCTGTTCCCTGAGGCGGGTCCCCAAAAGATCTTCGGGCGTTCCGTTGAACCAGGCGTACCCGGTCTTGTTCAAAAACAGGCATTTGCCTTCAAGGTCGACTTCACCGACACAGGCAGACATGCTGTCCGCCATGAGGTGCAGATTGCGATAGGCCTTCTCTGCCAGAGCCTTGGCGTCTTTCAGCTCCGTTATGTCCGCCCGGATGCCGACAATCCCGCCGGTGCTCGTCCGGGTTTCCGAAATCCTCAACCAGCGGCCTGTCTCCAGCTGCTGTTCGATCACCGCTCCATCGGCTGCCTGATGCTGTTTCAGCCTTTGCGCCAGCCAGGCCTCATCGTCCAAACCGCCGGTGTTGTACTGCCCCATGCGCAGTCCGTAGCGAAGGATGTCCTCGAACCGGTTTCCGGGGAACATTGCCGGTGCGGATTCGGAGTAGATCTCGCGATACATGTCGTTGCAGATAATCAGCCGGTCTTCGGCATCATAGATGGCAAAGCCTTCAAGGATCGCGTCCAGCGCGTCTTCGAGCGTGAGCGCCAGATCGCTCAGCTGGGATTCAAGCTGCTTGCGATCGCTGACATCCCGCGAGATGAACAGGAGACCTGATAGGGTCTGCGATGTGTCGAACAGCGGTGCGCTGACCACTTCGAGCTGCTTGCGGGTTCCGTCGCCCAGCACAGCCTCGATGGCATACATTCTGCGGTTCTTCTGATCCGAGGGTCTCTGATAGAGCTCCGCCATGCGGTCGAATTGCGCCGGGTCGGCAAAAAACGGCTTCGTCGTGTTGCCGATCAGGTCGTCCCGGCTGACGCGAAGGAGCTTTTCCATCGCGGCGTTTGCGAAGACGATGATCCTGTCCGGGTTCGTGACCAGAACGGCCTCGTTCAATCCGCCGAACGACTGCTGCAGATCGAGTGTGACAGACTCCAACCGACGTCCTCCCGTCATCCCGGCACCCTTAATGCCTTTACGTCAATTCTGACAGGGAAAGCCTTAATAAAATTGGTACATTCATTTGTTACTTCAGCGAACTTAGGGTGTTTTTAATAGTAAAATACCGCCATTTTTTCCTAAATTGCAGTAATCGCTCATATTTTTGCTATTGATCCAGAAACGCGCCGATCCGATCAAGTGCGGAGATAATGTTTTCTGTGGAGTTCGCATAAGAAAGGCGGATGTATCCTTCTCCGAGAATCCCGAAATCAGGTCCACCGATCGTTGCAACGCCGGTCTCTTCCAACAGAGCCGAGGCTAGTTCCTTGGCCTTCCAGCCGGTGTCCTTGATATTGGGAAATGCATAAAAGGCTCCGAGCGGCGTGCGGCAGGAAATGCCGGAGAGCGCGTTGAGGCCGTCGACGATTGCGCGCCGCCTGGCGTCAAATTCGGCAACCATGTCCCGCACGGCGGTCTGAGGACCCGTCAATGCGGCGAGGCCTGCGAATTGGGCCGGCGCGTTGACACAGGACCAGGCGTTGACCGCGAGTTTGCGCGCCTTGTCCGCTAGGCTGTCCGGCCAGACGGCAAAACCCATGCGCCAGCCCGTCATGGCGTAGGTCTTGGACCAGCCATCGAGCAGGATCAGCCGGTCGCGGATGGACTCAAAACCGAGCAGCGAAACGTGCTCCATACCGTCATAGGTCATCTGCGAATAGATTTCGTCCGACATCACCGCGACATCCGGATGGTTTTCAAGTCCCTTGACCAGAGCTTCGATTTCCGATCTCGGCGTCACGCCCCCGGTCGGGTTCGCCGGCGAGTTCAGGATCAGGAGACGGGTCTTGTCGGTAATCAGCGACAGTGTTTCTTCTGCGGAAAAGGCGAAATCGTTTTCCTCGCGGATCGGAACGGGGACCGGCCGCGCCCCGGTAAACTCGATCATCGATCGGTAGATCGGAAAACCGGGGTCCGGATAGAGGATTTCCGCTCCGGGTTCGCCGAACATCAGGATTGCCATGAACATCGTGACCTTGCCGCCCGGCACGATAAGAACATTGCCGGGATCGGTTTCAACACCGTGCCGTTTCAGCAGGTCGGCCGAAACGGCTTCTCTGAGCGGCGCAATTCCGGTGGCCGGGGTGTATCCGTGATGCCCGTCCTGCAATGCCTTGATCGCCGCTTCCACGATGTGTTCCGGTGTCCGGAAATCGGGCTGGCCGATGCCGAGATTGATGATGTCACGGCCCTGACCGGCGAGTTCGGTCGCACGAGCCAGAACGGCGAACGCATTTTCCTCGCCAATGCGGTCAAATCCGCTGATCGTTTTCAACATCCGCTGCTTGCCTTCCTTCGTCTTTCGAGGTCATTGATTTCGAACCTATCTTCCGGCCCTGTCCGTGAAAAGACCAGAAGGTGGCGCAGGCGTTCGCTGGCATTGGTGTTGTTCTGGGCCATCACAGGAAATTTTCCCCGGTCTCTCCAAATTAGCGCGCGATGTGCTTATATTCGCGGCCAACGAACCTGTTTCCCGACAGGTTGAGCAAAATCAACAAGGCCAGGAACCCTCGCAATGACCGCGACCCAGGACGCCCAAGCCCAGATTCCGGTCACGGTTCTGACCGGATATCTCGGTGCCGGAAAAACCACGCTTCTCAACCGGATCCTCTCTGAAAACCACGGGCAGCGCTACGCCGTGATCGTCAACGAGTTCGGCGAGGTCGG